TTCGGTAACATTGGTCTGTTAAAAAAATGTGACGAATGTTTAACTTAATGTTAAAGACTAAATATCTGACATGATCTCAACAAAATACCATCTCCAACTAACAGTTCTCACTGTTCAGCATGGTATAATAGAATTAGAAAACTTAATGACATTTGTTTTTTTTTTTTTTTTTTTTTTTTTTTCTAACTATGGTTATATCATCTGATTATTGAAGCAATACATTTTTTATTCATGAATAGTTTCTGTAATTTTGGAAATAGTCATCTCCTTATAATGAGGCTGACACCGGACCGGAGGGGGCTCGACGAATCCATGTCGACGATCCGGTGGCGGTCGCCGGACACCACTCCAAGAACTCCTTCTTGGAGCAAGAACCACCACCTAAGAACAATCTTAGGATACAAAAATTCTCAAGAGAGTAGAACTCTAATTTTATTAATCTCCAAAATCTCCTTCTATTACAAGACACTCACCATATTTATAGACTTTAGGTAGTCACATAATAGGCTACACAAGAGATAGAGCTACACCAATCACTAATAAGAAAATATATTTTATTTTTATGGACGCTCCTGTGTCATTCTACCGGGGTTGGAGGGAACTTCGAGCTCGTAGAAAGAGGTCCGGTTGGCCACAATAAGGAGGCGAGTTTGGTTGGCTAAATCGGTATGGATAATTCCACCCGATGTCATTCGCTTCGCCGAGGAGAGACTTCCACATAAGCTGGAGTCGATGAAAAATGGGATAGCTGCCAAACTCTTTTGGCATCTTTAGTAGCTCCTCTAAACAACATTCTTCACGACTTGAATTGAACTGGACATAAAATGGATCAACTATGCACATATTGGTATCCACAGAGATTGACTCCAAGAATTTGGTGTCGGAATTTGTAAAGGTACCAAGGTGGTTGTCGTGGTCAAGTTTGGTCATACCAATTTCGTGATCAATGATGGTGAGCATATTTGTTGCTTTATCAGGAATGATATGAATGACTAGCTCCAATGGTGAATCCACCTTGCTCTCATCATTACCATATATGGGTTGATCAAGATCAAGAACTCCACTGAATACGTCGTCATGCACGTCATACATTGGCTTGTCGTAGAGAGGAAAAGACGACGATTTCGACAATGAATCTTCAAACCCATCGAAGATAGACTCGCTCGAGGATGAGGAAGACTTACGGGGTGATCCTTCAAAAATGTCTTCGTAGGAAGGACTCTGATCGTCCAAGATATCCTCTCTATTATCGGTTCGTAGGGATTCGGCCTGAATGGAGGATCCATAAGCTGCCATGGGAGCAGACTTGCCCTGTGGTCGGACAGTAAAGTCCCGGGCAAGAGGGCTCAAGTCCTTTCTTCGTTCAATCCTTGACAATCTTAATTTGAGTTGGGCAATTTCTTCTAGCAGATCTTCGATTTCTACATCTTAAAGTGGTCGATGCCGAGTCTGATGAGGCCACATCGTGCTTTGTTTATCTGCTAATTTTTAGACCAAGAATCAAATTAAATGGTTATTAGTGCCTAGAAGATGCCGAAATCAATTTTCATGGTTGTTGTCCGAGAAAATATGGCTGGTTACGGAGGTAAAATTTGGCTAGCCCCAAGAAAATGCTCCGCCTGGGACCATGCTCGCAAAGGGGAAAGAAGCTCTCGGTTTTTGAAGTTTTTTGGCACTATTCGTCATATCCACACGCGAACCAGCATCAATAGCCCCTTCCCCCTCCGGCAGCCCAATCAAGTCCAACGTCCGGTCTCCCTACTCCGTCGCATGTCGCATGTAGATCTCGAGACCACATCCAGTCTAGAGGGCTTGGCAAAAACGGAGATGACTTCAGCTTGTGAGCCTAGTACTTGATGCCGGATCGCCGGGGATAACACGATTAAAATAGAGAAGAAGGATCTTCTTCTTCGTTCTAGCTTGGACGCCTTGCTCGTGTATGCCAGCGCGCACTACCGGCCGGTGGTGGGAGAAACGACGATGGTTGGAATGTCCTTCAGAGCGTCTCCGCGAGACTCTTCTGCCTCCTTCGCAGCCTGAAATTTCAATTGCAGCAGCTTTCTTGATGAGTTGCCTGAGGGAAATTTCAGCTCAGCTCGCTATCTGGTGATTGTTGGATAACAAGAATTGTTCTTCAGGAAAGCTCCACGTCGGAGATGACTCTCTGTCGCTGCAGGAACTCAAAAACTTGTAGATAAACTACAAGAACCAAATGACGCCACTACACTTGGATGCTTGGCGACTGCTTGATTGTCCTTCAGAGTTTCTTCGGTTCTTCTCTTCACCACCTGAGGAATTCTCAGTATACAGAGCAAGAAGAGCCTATTGGCTCTGATACCAAATGACACCGGACCGGAGGGGGCTTGACGAATCCACGTCGATGATCTGGTGGCGGTCGCCGGACACCACTCCAAGAACTCCTTGGAGCAAGAGCCACCACCTAAGAACAATCTTAGGATACAAAAATTCTCAAGAGAGTAAAACTCTAATTGTATTAATCTCCAAAATCTCCTTCTATTAAAAGACACTCGTCATATTTATAGACTTCAGGTAGTCACATAATAGGCTACACAAGAGATAGAGCTACACCAATCACTAATAAGAAAATATATTTTATTTGTATGGACGCTCCTGTGTCAGAGGCCTTTGAATGGCTTGAAAGGAACAAATATATGTCTTTGTTTTAAGCTTATCTTGTTTTGAGTCCATCAAGTACATTTCAAAATTATTTTTGCTTGTGTATTTGCAAGTCATGGATCCTCTCACTAGACATTGGCAAGAGTTTCTACTATGGTGTATGCTTTTTGCTGATGATATTCTTCTTGTTGATAATACTAGAACGAGAGTTGAAGGTAAACTTGAATTATGAAGGTCAAACTTAGAGTCTAAACTCTAAAGGTTTTCATTTGAGTAGATCTAAAACTGAATATACAAAGTCTAATTTTGTAGTAATAGATTTAGTGGGCAGATTGAAACTTTGGGCGATCAAGTCATTAATAAGACTACATGCTTTATATATCTTGGGCATGTTGTTCAGAGTGATGGTGAAATAGATGGGGTTATTATTAGTAGAATTCAAGTTGGACTGTTGAAGTGGAGGAATGCATCGGGCTTGCTATGTGATAGAAAAGTCCCTCTCAAACTTAAGGGAAAATTATTTAAGATTGTGGTGAGACCTGCAATGCTTTATGGTGCAAAATGTTGGCTATTAAAAGAGAAGCATAATATTAAGTTAAGTGTTGTAGAGATGAGGATGCTCAGGTGAATGAGTGGCTTTACTCTTAGAGATATGATACAAAACAACAAATACTTGAAAATGTTGGAGTTGCTCTAGTGGAAGATAAGATTAGAGAGAGTCACTGATACAGGACTTGAATGCCTAAGCGATGCTAGAAAAGAATCTTACACAATTTAATTTAGAGAACTTTATTAACAAATACTTGTAATGATTGAACGATGAAATAAAACAAGAAAGAGATGAGACTAGCTTAGGCCAAGTCACACAACTAGAAGTTAGGATCACAAAATAATCAATGATTCAAAACATTGCATACATGAAAGATTTCCAACAAAAATTCCTAAGTTAACAATGAGACTAGTCACTATGAAAATAAATCCACTTACGCACTCTCTAAAATACTAGGCTTAGCGACCTTTATGAATCAATGGAAACCACAAGTTAAGGTTGGACTTAGAAAAGGAAAGATTTGGAGGAGAGATTTACCTTGCTCAGGATTTGGAAGTAATCTGCCATTGGATGGAAGACAGTTGCTCGTCGATGGCGATGGCGACGGCGAGGGTGAAGATCATCATCTCTACGTACTCCTCTACGGTTTGATCAACCTCCGGATTGATGTCGAAGAATGATGAGTTGATGATGTCAACTTGGCCTTGATCGTCGTAACGAAACCGTGGTCAAGCTCGGGATCCGCCATGCATGGGTTGAGAAGTTTGTGATGCGTGGGAGGGTAACTGGTGTGACTTCTTCTCTCTTTCCTTCCAGGTGAAGCTTCAAGCCAAGAATAGTGGTGGCAAGGAGAGGTGGGTGTTTGGCCAAGACTAGGGAATAAAGCTTCTTCCAAAAATCTGAAATTGAATTTCATATTTGGGTGAGAGAGGATTTTGTAATTTGAAATGTGAATTTCAATTAAGGGGAAAGAGGGAAAATTATTCCTTAATGAGAGACTATATTGGTGTCCCTAGAAGGAGAGGAGTTGATATGGGAGAGAGAAATAGAAGGAGAGGGGCCGGCGGCTTGGTGAGGTGGAATAGGGTTAGGGAGGGTGAATTTAAAGCTTGCCTAATCAAGGACCTTTAACCGAGGAAGAGGATTTAAATTAAATCCAATTTGAAATTGATTTGGACTTGATTTAAGGAACTTTCCTGAAATAGATTATCTATTTTAGGAAGCATTTCAAAATTCAAAATTGATTAAATAATTGAAATCAAAGCTTTATAAATGAGATTGTGTAGAGAAAGGAAAGTAGTAATGAGAGGTTTGAATTTTGGAGGCCAAGGGATTGGGATTGGGTGTACATAGTGGGATAAAGGTTTGATGTTGTAGTTGTTGTTGTGTACTTGCAAGTCCTTTGTCCCCTTATAAATTATTTTACATTATCCATCAAAATCAAACATAAAAATTGGTCAGAGTTTAGCGGTACATATTCCATCCTTTTATTTTTCCTGTACAAAGATACCCATGTTGTTCTCTATGGTTTTTAATGTGGAATATGCTAACCCCATCCTTTTAATGTTAATGCCTAAATGGTTGTTAAAATAGTAAACTTTTTAATGTGTTTTAGTTTGTGTAAATTTCAACAGAATTATCGTGATTAGAAACCCCCTCACCAATGCACATAAAAAGCCTGCTTTAGTCAATTAATTTCTGTGGATAAATATTTATGAGGTCCCTCTTCAATGTAAAATATATAGCTAACATTGCAATTTTTTTTTGTCTCATTATCTTTTCATATTTATTCTTGGTTATTTATTTGGTTGGGAGTAGAAGGTGGATATTAGAGAAGAAGCTTGCTGATGCTGACATTTCGGAGGAAGAGCAGAACAATCTCATGAAGGACTTAGAGAAAAAGGAAACTGAATTGATGCGTCTCCACAGACATAAAATGGGAGTTGAAGATTTTGAGCTACTTACAATTATTGGACGAGGGGCTTTTGGAGAGGTTTATTCTTTGACCAAGTTGAACTTTCGTCATTGTGTCATTACATGAAAATTTTCAATGTTTATCTAATGTGTTTTACTTTTCAATTGTTTTTGCTTAATTCTTCTGAGTCAAATTACAAATCCAATAAGACTTGTCTCGTCAAATTGAATGCTTAATGTTGTCAAACTTTAAGATACCCTTATATACCAGTATAATTAAAGCCTCCAATAGTATTGTTTGGTGATTTCTGCCTTACCTTGAATTGGAACTGTAGTCTGCTCCTTCTTGTAATACTTACTTTTTAATAAAGTGCACGTGTGTGTGTTTTTTTTTTGCCTTGTGGAGCGATGTACAGCTCCATGGATTTGGTTTTGAAGCATTCATTGGTAACATTCACGCACATGTTCTGTTTTTTTTAGAATCCACGTTTTCAAATACCTTCACGTTTTTTTGGACTTTATTTTGAAATTTATATTTTAAGATGTTTGTCATTATTGGATTCCTTCCATTTCTCTAATGAAAGACGTCTTCTGCTGCTATTCTACTGATGTTGTTACTTGCTAAAATCTTGTGAAATAAAGTGGTCATGAAAGCTTAAAAGTGCAGGTAGGCATCAATTTTTCTAGAACATTATTTGTTTCAATGTACCTGAAACTTGGTTATCAAGCCAAGGTTTATGTGATATTTACCCAGTTATGAATAATTGCATAAATTTTCATCTGTTAACTTATATTTTATTTTATTTAGTGGTAATACCTTGGAATTTTGGTTCAAATACTGGGTGTTTTGCAGGTGAGACTTTGTAGGGAGAAGACTACAGGAAATGTGTATGCAATGAAAAAGCTTGAGAAATCTGAAATGCTTCGTAGGGGTCAGGTCATACATAACGGATCTATCAATTAATTTACTTTTGCAGTTTTACTTGTTCATTTTTTTAATCTTTTTGTTTTCTTCCAGGTCGAACATGTAAAAGCTGAAAGGAACCTTCTTGCGGAGGTTGATAGTGATTGCATAGTCAAGCTTTACTGTTCTTTCCAGGATGAAGAGTTTTTGTATCTTATCATGGAATATCTTCCTGGTGGGGACATGATGACTTTGCTAATGCGCAAAGATACATTGACAGAAGAAGAGGCTAAATTTTATGTTGGCCAAACAGTTTTAGCAATCGAATCAATTCACAAACATAATTACATTCATAGGCACGATATACCTGTTTCTGTTTGTTTTGTCTTTTTATTAAATCTGCTCCCTATCATGGCTAAGCTAACTTATACAAGTTTTTCTGTGGTGACAGGGATATTAAGCCCGATAACTTACTGCTTGACAGAGCTGGCCATATGAAACTGTCAGATTTTGGACTTTGCAAGCCTTTAGACTGCAGCAACTTCCCTAATTTTAGCGAACCTGACTATACATCCGGGTCAAACTCCAATTCAATTTTAGACGGTGACAAGACTTTGAACCGCATACCTGTTGCACAGAGAACCCAACAGGAGCAGTTGTTGCACTGGCAAAAGAACAGGAGAATGTTGGTTGGTGAAGCTTTTCTCTTAACCTTTTGAATCTTAGGACAAGAGTATCTTATAAGATTTCTTTTGAAAATATGTCCAAAGATATAATATAACATGGAGTGTCTTAGTTATAGATGCTGCAACCAGGGTAAGATCTGTGAATCATTCCATGTGAGATTCATTTTTGTCATTTCCCCCCTCTTTATTGATGCTTCATTAGTATCTTAGGTTGCCTGAAATGCTCTACATACTGGTCGATTAGATGATTGGAAACATGGTTGCTCAAGTTGTTTTCTATGTACAACAAAACTACTAAACATTATAGCTACCCTGAGGATGTTGGCCTTAGGAAAAAATTGTGATGCTCAAATCAGCTCATTAGAGACAATAACCTAAGTGCGGCTAGACTTGGAGGGAGTCTATTGCAAAGTTCTTTCGATATGATCCTTCAGCTCTGAATTATGAGGATGCAAAATGTAAAGAATGAGTTAGAATAGCACTTGAGGTTTATTTGTAGGTTAGTTTGAATAATTTCACCGAAGATGATTGTTGAAGATTTTGATTTTTCAATGGTGATCGCTTCATGTAATGATGCAATCTATTGACTGATTTAGGGATTCCCAATGAATAATGCAATCGTTTAGTGACAGCAGTGCCATTTTGGCTTAAAAAGTTTTTCAAGTTTAGATACATATATAAATAACTTATGAAAAGGCTTGACAAGTTTTTAAAGTTTAGATACATATATGAATCCTAGTAAAACATCATATCAATTTATAGTTTAATCTTTGATTAATTTCACATTAAGTATTGAAAACTATGAACACTCACGTTGTGAAATAGTTGAAGTGAGCTCATCCATACTTCTTAACCCCAATAAAAATAAAAATAGTCTTAGTTAAACTAAAAGGAATCTAAGAACCAAGATTTTATGTTTGCATCTCTCAGACATAAGGACCTCAGTGGGGCATACACATCAATGATCTAGGCTTATTTAGAAAGCTTAAAAAATCACTTCAAGCAATGTGACATCAAAGAACACATGTAGAGATATTGCTAAATTATATGTGATACCAATTATATTTATTGTCATCAAAATTATAGAGGATTTTATTAGGGCTCATGCTACTAATATCTCCTTCTTAACGATGACAATTTTAGAATGTCTTCTTGATATGGAAAAACCTTGAATGTTGAAAAAGATAAATAAATAATTGTATATAAGAGTTTAGCCTCCCCACCCCCTCCAATTATTAGATGCATTATATAGTAAGACAAAATACAATTGGGGTGGCTTTCTTTAAATATATGCCATTTAATCTTTAAGATCTTTCCCAAGTGATAAAAACCAAATTTACGGTCATACCTACAATCAAACAGGGCATTTTGCAATGACCAATCTGCAAGTAAATGGGGTTCAATGAATAAATAACCAAATTAGACTCATACACATGCCATTAAACCGAGCAACTAATTATGTGAAATAGAGTAGGAATGATGTTTTGTTGAAATTATTGCATTTTAAAATTTTCAAAACATGACTAGTTTAAATATGGATTAAAATATAAATACGAACTTTTAGGGGCTGTTTGATTAGCTGCATTATTTGAGTTTTGCATTCTATTTTCATGTAGATTGCTTTGTCTAGAGTTTGGCTCTAGATTGTTTTGGCTCTAGATTGCTTTGTCTAGAGATTGGGAGAGAACGATCCTCCTCTCAAATTGAGGATCACTTGTATCTTGTTCTCATGTTTGTTTGGCTTTGATTCTCTTATTGCAATCCAACATTTTTGGGCTGATTTCGCCCAGATTTTGCATTTTTCTCGCTGTTTTCACTAATTAGTGATAGGTTTGCTTGTGAACTCAAGTATTTCCTTTAGGGTTACTTGCGAACTCAAGTATTTCCTATCAAATTGGTATCAGAGCATCATCTTTGAACCAACGACGGCTGAAATTCTGAAATTTCAGCAGTTTTTTCGCATCCGAAAGCTCTCTTGAGATCATTGGGAAGAAAGATGGCTAGAAAGAAAGTCGAAGTGTTGGAAGGTGAAATTAGGCAATTAAAATCAGATTTGGAGAGAAAATTCTTTGATTTTCAAAATCAAATCTCTTCCAACAATGAAAGGTTGGAAGGGAAGTTCACTTTGATGGAAGAGATGTTGAAGAAATTACTAGAGGTGAAGACCAATCCGACGACATCGGAAGCAAGGGAGACCTCCGGAGGCCATGCTATAGGAGGGAATCTGAACTAGTTTAGGGGGAGGAAAAATCTGGAAGTGGAGATCCTTGAGGGAGAGGACGACATGTCACCTCTAGAACCACTTTCTAGAGAGGAGATGAGTATGGGCTATGAAAAGAGAGGTGCTGATTTTGTGGGTAGAAGGGGTGATTTCCACCACCGAGGGGTCGAGTTTGAAAGGAGGAGTGGGAAGTTGATGATGAATACAATTTTGATCGCCGGAGGGAAGATCGTGATAGCTGGGGAGCACCTTTCGTTTGTGACATGAGAGGATATAGAGGATCAAAGGGGAATTGGGGTGACCCGAATGTGAGAAGCTGAAGATGCCCATCATCGAGGGCGAGGATTGCCATGGTTGGATCTACAAGGTGGAACAATATTTTTTCGTCAACGGGTTGACTGAGGAAGAGAAGCTGACAGTGGCAAGACTATGCTTGGAGGGAAAGGCACTGCCTTGGTACCAATGACTAGACATGAAGCAACCCATGAGGAGCTGGAGAGAGTTCAAGGAGTGCTTACTGGAACGTTTCCGAACCGGTAGGGGAGGAGACTTCTATGAGTAATTCTTTGCATTGACGCAGGAGGGGACAGTGGCACACCGTGATCGATTTTAGTACCTAGCGAGCCGGCCGGCTGGATTGTTTATCTGAGACCGTGCTTAAGGGGAACTTCATGTAAGGACTCAAACTAGAGATCATAGCATCTGTTAGAGTGATGCGACCGTGCGACTTGGGGGAGGCCATGGAGTTGGCACAGCTGGTTGAGGACTAAAAGCATCTGGAGAGGGGCGCTGGTGGCAGTAGTTCCGGGGGATCCTACATGATGACTACTACCTTTCTAGCTCCCAAAGGAGTTGCATCGGTAGGATCATGGGAAGTACCAAAGGTGAAGTCTGGAGGAGGAGCATGGAGGAAATTTTATAAAGCTGACGGAGAAGGAGATCCAGGAGAAGCAGGCTAAGGGGTTGTGTTTTAGGTGCGAGGAGAAGTACATGCCAGAGCATATGTGTAAGGATCGAACTCTTCAGGCTCTCACTGTTTGTGATGACGAGGAAGCTGAATAGGGAGGTAGAAGCGGGTTAGAGACGAAAGAGGAGGAAAAATTGCATTTGGATATGACAGAAGTCTCCCTAAACTCAGTAGTGGGATTCACTTCGAATTACACTATGAAGGTGAAGGGAGAGATAGCTGATAGGAATGTGGTAGTGTTGATAGATAGTGGGGAAATCCACAATTTCATCTCCACCCAGATTGTTGATCAATTGGGGGTGAAACTAGTGGATACAAGAGGGTACGGGGTGATGATGGGCACCGAAAAGGTAGAAATGGACAGAGGAGTTTGTAGGGGAGTGCTATTGACCATTCAAGGGATACAGGTGATGGAGGATTTTCTTCCCTTGGAATTGGGGAGTACGGATGTCATATCGGGGATGAAATGACTGCAAACCTTGGGGGAGACCAAGGTAAATTGGGGAGCACTGAGGATGGAACTGGTGGTGGGGGGGGGGGGGGAATGGTGATACAGGGAGATGTCAGGCTGTCTAGAGTGGAGTCTCTCTCAAGTCCATAATCAGAACTATACAGGAGGTTGGAGGTGGATATTTGGTAGAACTGCAACGATTGAAGAGGGTTAGTGTGGGGGAAGAGGGAGACATTCCTCTTGTAGTGCAACCAGTCATGCAACAGTTCAGTGAGGTGTTCTAGCCAACTCAAGGGTTACCTCCACTCAGAGAACAAGAGCATGCAATTCTTCTAAAGGAGGAGTGTCACTGATTAGTGTACGATTCTATTGCTGTCCCTAGTTTCAGATGGATGAAATTTGAAAAGTTGATTAAGGAAATGTTGGAGGCTGGGATCATCAGACTGAGTGTGAGTCCTTTCTCTAGCCCAGTGTTACCGGTCAAAAAGAAGAATGGGAGCTAGAGGTTTTGTGTGGATTTCAGGGCATTGAATAAGGAGATTGTACCGAATAAATTTCTCATTCCGGTGATTGACGAGCTTTTGGATGAACTGTATGGAGCAGTGATATTCTCCAAATTGGATTTGAAGTCGGGATACCCTCAGATCCGAATGAGGGAGGAAGACATTTCAAAGACAGCTTTCCGGACACACGAGGGGCATTATGAGTTTCTGGTTATGCCTTTTGGGCTTACCAACGCCCCTGCCACTTTCCAATCACTGATGAACAGGGTGTTTAGACAGTATCTCCGGAAGTTTCTGGTGGTGTTTTTGGATGATATCTTGGTGTACAACCGATCGGAGGAGGAGCATCTGAAGCACTTGAAGTTGGTATTGGGAGTTCTACAGGAGCATAAGCTGAGGGCCAACCTAAAGAAGTGCTGCTTTGCCCAAACAAGTGTGGAATATTTGGGTCATATTGTGTCCAAGGAAGGGGTGATGGTCGATCAGTCAAAGGTGGAGGCCATGTTGCGATGGCCCTTACTTAAGAATCTGAAGGAGTTGAGAGGATTCTTAGGGCTGACGGGATACTACAGGAGATTCATAAAAGGGTACAATACATTAGCATGGCTACTAACAGAGCAGCTAAATAAGGATGGATTCCTATGAGGAGAGGCAACCACAACAACATTTGAGAAATTAAAAAAAGGCTATGACCACGGTACCCGTCTTAGCTCTACCAGACTTCACTCAGGCCTTCATAGTGGAGACAGATGCTTCAGGATACGGATTGGGGCAATACTCATGCAGGATCGACGATCCATTGCCTACTTCAGCTAGGTGTTGGCAGCCAAAGGCATGCTGAAATCCGTCTATGAGAGGGAGTTGATGGCTATTGTTTTAGCCATACAGAAGTGGTGACCATACCTATTAGGTAGGTATTTCATTGTCAGAACAGATCATAGGATCCTGAAATACTTGTTGGGACAGCGGATGGTGACTAAAGAATATCAGAGATGGCTGTCGAAATTGTTGGGGTATGATTTTGAAATCCAATACAGACCAGGAGGGGAGAACAAGGAGGCAGATGCCTTATCTAGATGTATGAGAGAGATAAAGATAGTGACAGTGTCTGTTCCTTTGATGCTGTATTGGGAGGCCATTAAGAAGGAGAGCTCTAGGAATGAGGAGTTGGGGAAGATCAAGACGGACTTATTGAGGGAAGGTGGTAGCCACCTAGGGTACTCAGTAAAGGGTGACAGACTGCTATATCAGAGGAGGTTTGTGATGCCTAGGATCTCAATCCACATCCCAAACTTACTCCAGGAATTTCAGGGATGCGCTGTTGGGGTCCATTTAAGGGTGCAGAAGATCTATAGGAGGTTAGCTGTCGAGCTTTACTGGAAGGGAATACATATAGATGTAGAGGAGATGGTGGCAAGGTGTGAGATCTGTCAGAGGAACAAATACTTGGCTATGTCACTAGGGGGATTACTACAGCCGTTGGCGTTACCAGGACGAGTATGAGAAGAGATATCCATGGACTTCATAGATGGGCTGCCCCGTTCAAAAGGCTTTACAGTGATTCTGGTGGTGGTGGATAGATTGAGCAAGTATGCTCATTTTAATCCCCTCCGACATCCATCCACTACGGTGACAATGACTTCAACTTTAATCTGAGAGGTGGTCAAATTGCATGGGGTACCATAGGCAATCGTATCAGATAGAGACAAGATGTTCTTCAGTCATTTTTGGAGGGAGTTGTTCCGGTTACAGGGGACAGTTCTGAAGACGAGCACCGCTTACTATCCTCAGACAGATGACCAAACGGAAGTGGTCAATAGGAGCTTGGAGACCTACTTGTGATGCTTTGTGTCGGAGACACCCAAGATGTGGGCCAAGTGGCTATCATGGGTAGAGTACTTGTACAACATCTCTTTTCACTCGGCTTCACAGATGACCCCATTCAGGGTGTTGTATGGAAGGGACCCTCCTCATTTGGTGCACTTTGGGAGTAGCAATACTCCAGTTTTTTCAGTGGAGAAGTACTTGGGGGAGAGAGATAGAGTTTTAGAGGAATTGAAGAAACACTTACTAAGAGCTCAACAGATCATGAAGAAACAAGTTGATGGACATAGGAAGGACATCCAGTTCGAAGTAGGAGAAATGGTGTTCTTGAAACTCTGACCCCATTGCTACTCATTTTTATCCTTATTTGCATTTCAGTGCATTTGTAATGCATCAAGAAAATCACAAAAATATTTTAATACATTTGATTTGCATTCAACCAAACAACTGTTGTATTTTTGAAATGCATGCATTTCAGTTACTCTACATAGCTTGCATTTATTTTGATAACATCCAACTAAATAGCCCCTAAGAATTTTCTTACAATCCCATAATTCCAAAATTTCCATTTTCCACATTTAAAATTAAATAGCTGAAGGTCTAATAAGAAAAGTCTTAAGAAAGTTTCCACCTATGTATAGCTAACAGCTAAATCTTGACTTGCGCGTTCAAATGGATTGAAAAGTGGAAAACATGCCATTTGGCATTTATGATCACCTTCTATTCACCAATCTTCACTTAAAATTTCAGAAAATTCGGAAGAGGCCATGAGTATGGTATATGCAGTTGAAAATTCATGATCCATGAATAAATGTATACTTGGGAAATCTTTTTGTTGTGCATAGCATGCAAATTCAAATATTTATAATAAAAACCATATCAAGAAATAAATAATCATGCATGATGATCTAAAATTCCACTTTATGTTTCAAATATTGAAAGCTTATCTTATCCAGGGTTTTAGCCAAAAAAAATGGCAAATTTGTGCTTGGTGCTCACAATCTCAAGCTACACCTTTTCCTTTCCTACAGGATCATTCTTGTATAAATTGATGCCTATTCTCAATATTCTTTGTCTTTGTAATATTTAATAGGATTTTTCGTGATTTTGATAGAATTAATTATGCCAATTATGGAAATGGTATCTAAATGAATGCTAAAGTTCTCTAATGATGGAATGATGCCAAATTTGATGATGACAAAGGCATGTCAATGATGAATTCGTAGAGATCATCTCTAACATTTGCAATTTCCTTGGGTCATATTCAGTGCCCATGATTGATGTGTGTTGGATTCACTTGGTTCATGGAGGTCAAAGGAATCCACACCTTTGGTTTAGCAAGATCTTGCATTTGTTGGTGCTGTAATGGTCATCGAGCATGGTTATTCTTGAGAGGCCTTGCTAATTTATGTGCGAACTCTACTTGTTATATTGCTGCTATCATAGCATATCTCCGTTGGCCTTGTACTAGGGATCCCTGACATGAGGTAGAAGGTGACTCAATCATATTATTTAGAACTAAACTGGGCTTAGCTAGTTTGATCTACTCCAACCCTAGGTGCTTGATACATGCTGATGAGTTGCCTGTGTTGGGAATGGAGAAGTAAATCATGCAATGAATACAAAATAAGAAATAGAAAGCAGCAGAAATAAATGACACCAGAATTTAACGTGGAAATACCCAAAACCAGAAAAAAAATCACGGAGCCGCACCACACTAAGAAATCCACTTTGAAATATGGGAGAAATTTGTACATATCACTCTCCTCTCTCTATCTATCCTTGCTTCTCTTCTATCTTACACTATTCTCACTCTCAAAACAAAAGAGAAAGTCAGGTAAATAACACCAAGGAACGCCACCCTTAAGATAAACGAGAAAGAAAATTGTTCAGTCCGTCTCGAAGCACTGCGGAGCTCAGACCTCTGTCATTGGTCCTTCTGACAGCGCCGTGGAGCCGAATTTAGAGCATTGCGGGGCTAAGCTCTCTGTTGTTTCTTCTAGCAAACTTTGCAGCACTGGGGTACTCGGGAACACAACAATGGGGCGCTCTGGAACAAAACGCCAAGGGGCTCGAGAGCCAAGGGGCGTTGTATGGGAAAAAAAATTTCGAGTGCAAAGCATCCGAACTTGAGCGTGAGAATTGAGTAGGACAAATTGAGTTGAGGTCTGTGACAGCAGTACAACTCGATTGATCGACACAATCAAATTCCGCACAAACTAACTCTGTGTTGTGTCTTGTCATCGTTGCATTTTTTTTTTTTACTCGGCAAAGGCTTTTCCAGTTGCTGATCGGTTATGGTGGATCTAGCTCAGCTTACTGGATTTGACTTATTTTATATTGATTATGATAAATCTTTTATTAATTGCTTTAATTCTCGTTGTTGAGCTTAATTTGGCATTAGCTGTTTTTTGGTTGCAGGCTTACTCAACTGTTGGTACTCCTGATTACATTGCTCCAGAAGTGCTGTTGAAGAAAGGATATGGCATGGAGTGTGATTGGTAGGTTTTTGCTTAACGTTGTTTTAAATAATTTTATTGGTACCCTTTATCCTGAATTGGTATGATCTTGATTAGTGCAATTTCATCAGGTGGTCGCTTGGTGCAATTATGTATGAAATGCTTGTGGGCTACCCTCCCTTCTATTCTGAAGAACCAATGTCAACCTGCAGAAAGGTTGCATTTTAACTTTAATCGTCAATTAGATTGTTTAGTTTTTAGCAGTGTGTACAAAATTATGTGAATCTACTTCATTATCTTTTTGGCTGAACTAAGTCGTAAAGTGTCAAAGTTTATCAGTTTTTCAATTTAGCATTTCACATCTAACTGTTGTCGTCATTTAGCTTCTATGTTATCACTAACTTAAGGGATCTTGCTCCTTGATCTATGATTTTATCTTTGACACCTATCAACATCAAACTCAGATCCAGCTCAAATCAACTGCATCCAAAGAAATATCATACATCTATTAAGCTCAATCTGCTTGTCTTAAACTGCACAGATAGTTAATTGGAAAACTCACTTAAAATTTCCTGTGGAGGCAAAGCTGTCCCCTCAAGCTAAAGATCTAATTACCAAGTTGCTTTGCAATGTGGAGAAGAGACTAGGAACAAGAGGAGCTCATGAAATAAAGGTTTTCCTTTGATAAATATTAGTCTGCTATACTTTTGAGACTCTTTTTTGGTTGAATGCCACTGATTAACTTGTTAACAAAATCAGGCACATGCTTGGTTTAAGGATGTTAACTGGGACCGGCTTTATATGATGGAAGCTGCCTTTAAGCCGGAGGTTAAGGATGAGTTGGATACTCAGAACTTTGAGAAATTTGAAGAGGTGAGGCAACCTTATTGGGTCTCATTTGACTTTCTTTTTCCTATATGCATGAATGGTAGATTTCAATGCATCGAGAATTTGTCATTGAACACAGCTACAACATCTTTCTTTAATGGTAATTCAATTTTTTTTTCTTTCTTTTTGAGGACTATTGATCATATTGGGGAATTTTGTTTATCATAGCATTGTTGTTCACTTAGAATGAGATGCAGGATAAACATACAAAAAGTTTGCAATACGCAGGTTATTAATTCATAAATTTAGTAGAACTTATTGCTTTTAATGTATGGTGATGCAGGACTAAGTATGTTTTTATATGAATGCGATAAGAACTTGCACGCTTTGAATAAGAGCAATTAACAATTATGAATGTTAGCCACTAAACGATCATAGAAAACTAAAGAGGGGTGCCTACGTTTAGGCTAAATCACATGCTAAGAACTAGAATCACCAAAGTAATTTATAATTTCAATATAATGCAAATTAAGTAGTTATTCAATAAAATTCCTAAGTTAACATTGAGTTTAGAAACATAGAAAATCAAAACTCAAATCATACGTTTACTAAGCGAAGGCAGAGAGCTTGGCTCAATTCCTCATGTTTGAATCACCTCCTACAAGAGAAGAGGATTAGAAGATAATTTGAATAGGGGAAGAAGTTCACCCTTGCCGAGGACTGGAAGTAATTTGCAACTGAACGTTGACAAGTTGCTCTTCGATTGCTTCAGACAAAGTGAAGATGATCGATCTAGGTATTCGTCGGCGGGAGTGTCAATCTCTGGGTTGATGTCAAAGAATGTTGATTGAAGAATATCAATGCATCCTTGCTCGTTGTAGACGAAACCGGAGTTGCGTTCAGGATCGGCCATACATGAAGTACAAGGTGTTGTAGTGTTGTAGATGTTGTACTTTGCTGTCCTTGGGCAGTTCCTTAGCAAACTTGGGGTTTTCCCAAGTAATTTAAGAAGAAGGAAGAGGAGCAAAGGGGGGCCGGCCAAGGGGAAAGGTTTGGGGAGAGTTGGGTTCAGATTTTGGTGGAGTTAAGAGTTAAATTTGAGAGAGTATTTTGGAGGGAAAGTCTGGAATTAATTTCCAAATCAAAGTCTCTCGAGTTGGAAAGAAGTTAAAGGGAATATGAGAGAATAGAGGGGGCGGGTGGAGTGAGGGAGGGTTTGGGATTTAATTCCAAAAGAGGTGGGATTTTGGAAAGAAATAAAAGATGGGGCCTTGAGAATTTCGGCCAAGAGAGAGAGGAAGGTTTTTGAATTATTTCCAATAGAGTAGCTTGACTTTTGGAAATAATTCCAAAGGGAAACTTGAAGGGGGCGGCGGTATAGGGAGAGAGATTGGGAGAAATAAGCTAGGTTAATTTCTTTCTTAAATAGGACTCTCTAATTAGGACATAGGTTTTAATTCCAATCCAATTTAAATTAAATTTGGATTTGAGTTTAGAAATTTCCCTAAAATAGGATTCTATTTTAGGAAATGTTTCAAATTCAAATTTAATTTTGAATGATTGAAATTTCAGCCTTCCCAAAAGAGAAATGGTAGAATAGGAAAGTAGTAATGAGGGAAATTGTAATTTCGGTAGCAAGGGGAAGAGGGGATGGCGGTTAGGAGGCTAGGCTGTGGGTGGGGTGAGGGGAGAAGGGGTTGGTTGGGATGAAAGGTTTGGGTGCTAGCTGAGGGCAAGGGTCCGGATTAGTAGTTGGCCGGCGGTAGGGTCTTGAGGAGGTGGTCGGTGGCTTTGGGGTGGAGTTGAACCATGGGCTAGAAGAGAATGGAGGAAGGGGGAAGAAAAGAGCTACAAGAAACTAGCCACAAACCCGGACTCTTCCGAGGTTGGTGGGTGATCCGCTTCCCTCTCCAAGGGATTCCTGTCCAAAATCACTCAAGCTCTCACAAGAATTCAATATGCTGAAATTTTCATAATTCATTCATTAACCTTCAAAAGAAAACATAAGGGCTATATATAGCCTCATACAATGGACGAAAAATAAAAAAAAAAAGACCTCTTAACCCTTTGGGCTTACACATGACCACTCTTAAGTAAGGGGTAGAAAGGAAAAACACAACTAAAATAAATACTAAAACATAAATAAAACAAGTACATGTGAGGACTCAAAAATATATCAGCGCGATTGTGGCCGTAGATCGGCGACCACGTCTCTGATAAACTTTCCATGCTCCGATGTCCCCATCATATGGATAGAAAACACACCATTAATGTTAGAAGATAATGTAATAATCATCCAAAATCCAAAAAAATTACAAGAAAACAATGATTGATAATAAAATTTAGGAACTCGTCAAGATCATGTTTAAAAAAAAAGTGCAACACATATCTTATATGACAAAATATCAGTCAATTCGTAAATTCTAATGCAACTAAGCAATTAAATAGATAAGAGTAAGAGTAAAAATCACCTTAAAGGGAGGAATTGAGCCTTGTGGTAGTACTTGAGTCTTCCCTCAGGAAATTGTCATCGACAGATATGAAGCACTTGAAGAATTTACATCAAATTTAAAGTTTTAAAAATCCTTAAAGTTGTTGCTGGTAAGTGAATTCTGCAGATTTATGCATCTTTTTGGCTATGGCGATGGACTGATTATGGAGATTAGCTTTATCTGAGGAATTCCAGCAAGGTTTAATGCTTCATTGCAACCATGAATGCGAGATTTTAGCTAGGGGATGTCAGCCACATGTTTGTGGACATCGAGCTAAATTTTGCTGGTTGGATAAATTAAAGTTTTCCATTTTCCTGTGTTTGTGGGTTGTGATTGTGGAGATCTAAAGGTTTCCGTTTCTTCATTGATACTAGTCCTTGTCATGCAATGAAAAACATTTGATGTTATTTTCTATTTTGATTAAATAGATGCCTAGTTGGATGGATTCTTTCTAGCCTTATTAAGATTTCAGGGGAAATTATTTTCTTCTACGGGCATGACGTTAATTATTTTCTATATGGTGATCTTTTAACTTTTTGTTAATTATTTTCTATGATGTTGTATTTGGCATGATTTTGCATAGTTGTGTTTGATAAAATTTTATATAATTTGGTTTTCAACTGTTAGCGTGATTTCCAATTGAATATATGGTTTTACCACTCTAAAATTTCTATGCAAGATTTCTGTTCAATGAGATCACATTATCTCTTGGACAGATTTTATGAATTTCTAATTTCTAATATCTTGTAAGATTTCTATGCAAGCTTTTTTCTCTTCCATACATGTGAATTCACACTGGCTGACAGTAATGCTTCTTACAAACTATGCTTTGCTTAATGAGCGTTCTGCAGGATTATGTATATTTGTCCATGGACTACCCAGGATTTGTATAAGATTTAGTTAGTTCTTATTAAAATAATAATAATTGTTAAACTAGCATAAGTATCTCAGGCAAGAACTAAAAGACTGTAGCCCGGGAACCCCGAAAGTTCTGGTGACAATCAAGTAGGCCATGTTCTATGATGTTTACACTTCACTGGAAAATGAATAATCTGCTTGACTGAGCCTGAACCTTGTTTACCTAACTAGAGTTTGGATGGCAACCATGGATGTTGGGCTTTTCAAAGGGAGGGGGGCAGGGAAGCTCGGCTGTCACGGCTATAATATGAGAGTCAGTTAAGATGTTAGGATGAATGGAGTGGGGTACTCAGAAATTCTCCCCTCGATGATTCATATCTTTTCAGGTTTAAATAAAAGATAACTGAGAAGTGGCTACTCCCCTACTAGAATCATAAACTGACCTTATGTGCAGATCGTGCTTGGGGAAGTTTCTTTTCCTTTTCTTTCTTTTGAAATTGCAATATGAAAAAGAAAGTGGTTTCCCTATTATTATTTTGGTGTGGGTTATTCCAACCATTTATCATCGTCTGGGCTGAATAATTAGAATTGTACATGAAGGAGCATTGTTACTGCTGTAAAATGGAATCCAAAGTGCATTCTTTTGGATTAGTGCAGTACTTCCGTTGGGGTCTGCTATACTGTACACTGTTTTTTCTTTCTTATGAAGCGTTGCTTTTAGACGTCATTAAATATTTATCCATTGCTTACGATGCTCATACACCTATAACCTAATGGAAAATGAAATTGAGCTGTTTCGACCATTGTCCATAGATTTAATCCTTGGTATTTTAGTTATTTGTTTTCCGCTAACATTTTATTTTCAAAATTTTCTCTCATTTTATTTTTTGCAGAACAATCATTAGATGGCATAAAGTTTGCCTCATTGTGTTTATTGTTATTGCGTGATTTGTAGATGCAAGCTAATCATATTATCTTAATGCAGACGACAGTTTCATTGCAAACTTCTTCAAAGTCCGGTCCTTGGAGAAAGGTAAATGTGGCTTTCTTTACCATTCTTTTGATCTCTGTGATATGTGCGATGTGTCAATTTGAGTTAGAAGGGTATTGGAAGCCCATTGTTGTGGTCTTGGACATTGATCCAAGAAAAGGGTTACTGTTGCTGACTAATTTAATTTAGATCTTTATACTTTAATCATCTTTTAGGCAATTAGTTTTGTGGATGTGAAATTATTATATTGGATATTAAAAACTTTAATTTTTGGTGGCAGCTTTTGGTTTAGTGTGTTACCTCAATTGAAATATAAAGAAGACTAATACAACAACAATAACAACAACAAGCATTTATCCCACTATGTGGGGTCATCTATATGAATCTTTTTTCTCCATTGTGTCATATTAAGAATCAAATTCTCATTTAAATTTAATAAAAAAAGTCATATCTAATATTTATAGCCAAATCTTTTTAGGTCAACTTCTACCTTTTTTAACATAGGCCAAATCCAATGCATCTACTCTCCTAAGTGGGTCATCAAAAGGCTGACATTTTATGTGTCTAAATCGTCTAAGGCGGCTCTCACTAATTTTATCTGCCACGGGAGCTAGTCCAACCCTTTCACATACATACTCGTTTCACATTTTGTCTCTATGATTGAGGCCACTCATCAACCTAAGCATTCTCATATCTGTTAAATTTAACTTTATACTTCTCTTTTAATGACCAACATTCTGCGCCATAAAACATTGTAGGTCTCACCACCATCTTATAGAATTTTCTTTTAAGTTTGAGGAATACTTTTCTATCACATAATAGGCTCAATGAATTCGTACACTTCAACCATCCAACTTGAATTCTACTAATAATATCCACATCTATTTCATCATCACTTTGAACAATAGATCCAAGATATCTAAAACATGTACTCTTATTAATGACTCGATCACCCTGCCCGAAGTCACAATCCCCCACTAGAATTATTACTACTAAAATTGCACTCCATGTATTTGGTTTTAGATCTACTCAAACGAAAACCTTTAGACTCTGAAGGAACGTCTTGTAAATGTCTAGTAGGGGTGTCAATTTTTTACCCGACCCCGAACCCGACCTGAAAAATCCTGGTTAGGGTCAACCCGGACCCGAAAAAATTCCGGTTAGGGTCAACCCGGACCCGAAAAGGTTCGGGTTCAGGTTCAACAAATCAACCTATTTTAAAAATCGTTTGGTTCGGGTTGACCTAGCAACCCGAAATTGACACGAAAACTCGTATTTGACCCAAAAACACAAGATTGACCCGTTTTGACCTGAAAACTAGCAATTTTGGGTCAACCCCGAGTCATTCGTGTCGGGTCGGGTTGACCCGGACCCGAATTGGGTTGGGTTCAGGTCTGAAAACCTGACCCGTTTTTAAAAATGGGTCGGGTTCGGGTTGACCCAAATAGTGCCAGGTCAGTTTCGGATTCGACCTGAACCCGACCCGTTGACCTGAATTGACACCCATAATGTCTAGTAAGAACACCCATGACTAAAGCAAAAGGATATAGGCTTAAAGCTGATCCTTGATGTAATTCAATTGAGATAGGAAAATACTTGGTCAAATCACCTTGTGTTTGAATACAAGTAACAACTCTTACATGCACATCTTTAATGACTTGAATATAAGAATTATTAACTCCATTGACGACAAAATATCGTTCCACCTTGTACATCTAGCCATGGCCATCCTCGCCCTCAAAGATGGACATCTTCAGCTTCCTCACCTTTGGATCACCCTCGTTGCCCTGCCCTTGAATCCTCCATAACCTCCCATTATGTGAAGAGGAGGTGCTCCCCAATTGTCACGATCTTCCCTCCGGTGATCATACCCAACCCCTTCATCAAATTCCCCTCTTCTTTCAAATTCAGCACTTTTGTGGTAGAAATCTTGCTACAAAATCAGCAACCCTTATTTCGAAATCAGTGTTCATCTCCTTCCTAGAAAGTGGTTCTAAATGAGGCATTACGTCTTCACCCTTCAAGATCTCCACTTCCGGATTTTCCCTTCCCCTAAACAGGTTAGGATTTTCACCTCTTCCATGGCCGCCTATGGTTTCCCTTGCTTCCGATGTTGCCGGATTGGTCTTTACTTCTAGCAATTTCTTCAACATTTCTTCTATCACAGCGAACTTCCCTTCCATCCTTTCATTATTGGATGAAATATGATTTTGAAAATAAAAATTTTTTCCTCCAAATCTGATTTAAGTTGTCCAATTTTCCTTCCAAAACTTCAACCTTCTTCCCAGCCATAATTCTTCCCAAGAATCATGAGAAAATCTTCTTCTGGATGAAATTTCAGAATTTTAGCCGCCTTTGGGCCCCAAGATAATGCTCTGATCACAATTTGATAGGAAATACTTGAGTTCACAAGTAACCCAAAAGGGAAATACTGTAGTTAACAAGCAAACCTAATAATAATTGGTGAAAATAGCGTGAAATCTGTTGATTTTAGATAGAAAAATCAGTAATACATTGCACAAATTTCAGAAAATTGTAGAGAAAACACAAGGAAACTTCTTATATTCAATCCACGAACAAGAAAAATAATACAAGATACAAGTTTCTTCAATTCGAGTGGAAGAAACAACTCTCCAAATCTCTAGCAAAGCCTAGAGCCCAAAAAAACAAACCCTAGATCTCAAATCTTTCTTCCAATTCAAGATGAAACCCTAATCCTCACAAGGAAATTAATTAAAACAAAGATGACAAATACAAAATTCTTAAACAGCCCCTAATTCAAAATTTTCCTCCTAAAGTAACGTTTAATTAAGTTGTGGGTCCCATCTATCCAACTGGCCTCTCTCTCTCTCTCTCTCTTCCCCTTGATTTTGCCCCCGCCTCTTGTAGCAAAGAACCGGTCCCTGGACCGGTTCAGCTGGCCCTAGCATAGTCATGGATCATCTTGTCAAATCCATTAACCTTTATGTGCATAGTGCGCAAAAGCTTGGATGTCCTACTAAGTGTTAAGTGAATTTTTCCCAATACTAGCCTTTTTTTAATGGACAAAGGAATGTTCTTGATGAAATTATACTCACTTGGCGTATCAGAAACTCATTTTCTTCCTAGCACTAAAAATTTTGAGAGCATGATCTAAATAAAGCATAAACTCTCTAGACCGAAGATAATGATGCCAATATTAGAGTAATTGTACTAGAATATAAAATGTATGATCATATGTTGAGTAACATTTGACATGCAACCAAGCATTATTCAACTTCTTGCTTAAGTAAGCAATTGGATGCCCTTGCTTGGGAACACTTTTAATGCCAACTCCAGAGGCATTAGATGATGCCTCGAAAATCTTGTTGAAGTCGGGAATATTGGGAAAGTGTTAGGCGGCCCCTCCGGTCCTTACTCTAGGTGGGCCCCACATGGAGTTAATTCAAGGGTTGGAGGGAAAATTTGAATGGAAAGGGGGGGGGGGAAATTTGAATAGAAGGGCTGTTTAGGGATTTTGTATGGGGATGAGAGTTAAAGAGGGGGAAAGGGGGGAATTAGGTCCTCATCTTGAATTTGAATGAAAAGTTTGAGATCTCATTGTGTGCTTGGGCTCTAGGGTTTGCTAGAGACTTGTGGAGAGTTGTTCTTCCTCTCGAATCGAAGGACGTTGTATCTTTCTTTGTTTTCTTGCATCTACTAGTGGAAACCTTGTTTCTTTTCCTTATTTTTCTCTGTTTGGGTGCATTTCCTGCTGCGGAGCTGCTGTAAAACTGCTGGGACAGCAGTTTTGCTCACTGTTTTGGGCTGATTTTGACTAGGGTTGCTTGCTAACTCAAGTATTACCTTAGTGTTACTTGCGAACTCAACTATTTCCTAACAGAAAGTTAATACAATACATCACATGACTTTCAAATAATGGAAAGTTATGTAAAATCAAGTGCGAAGTTATGAAAAATAAAATTTTAGAAGTCTATTACTATCAGCTTTTCTCTTTTGATCGATCATGTCTTGGGAAGCGTTAAGCATATTATTTCATTTTGGCGATGCCTTGTGTTTATTTGATTGGGAATAGGTTCCCCTATTGTTGTAGTAACTGTTGTGCATGTACAGATGAAAGCAATAACCTTTACCTTCTTTTATCCGTGCAGATGCTTCCATCCAAGGATGTGAATTTCGTGGGCTATACCTACAAAAACTATGATATTGTTAATGATTATGAACTTCCTGGCATCGGTATTTTTCTCTTCTGCACTTACATTACTGGCCTCTTTTCTTCTATTTCTATAGGCGGTTAGTTTTAATAATGTTGTATTTTCAGCAGAGTTGAAGAAAAAGAGTAACAAACCGAAGAGACCCTCAATCAAAACCTTATTTGGTAATGGTTTTAACACTCCTGGAATTGCTATCCTATTCTTTCCCTCAAATATTCTTAGATAGCATCAGAATTTGACTGAAATTACGACGACTGATCTCATTCTTCATCTTTATATTTCTACAGAAACAGAATCTCCCACTAGCCAGCCTATCCATGGGAGCTTTCTAAATCTTCTACCTCCACAGCTGGAGGTTTCTGAGAGCCCAGAGGCATCACCCTCGCGGACTTCACCCTAAATTCTGGCAAGCCATTATGCTTCCAACCCCAATCTCGACTAAGATAACAAATATTCTTTTACGTGTTCATAATCATAGTAAAAGTTTATGAGTGTTGACACAGGAAAATAAAACAATGGCGGATTCCATCATCCTTCCAGGAGTCCTGTTCATTAGAGTATGTACTCCTCTCTCTTTATAATAATTAAAAGAGGGGTATCAGCTTTTTATTAGTTTGGCCTTTACGCTGTACTCTGTTTGGTGACTTCATTTTCTTCAAGCTGGAATACATAAAACTGCTGCAAAATATCTCTACTTACAATTTTGTTAATCAAACATGAGCAATTCTGTTCTACTTAAAATGTTTTTACTGTTATTTATTAAGATATTTTTATTTTAATTATGTGGTCATTTCTTAAGATGGATTTTAGGGTCATTGGATTTCTATTTGTTTTAATAATAGGGTGGGAATTCAATATCTAATAAAATAAATCGAAATTTGAAGTTCTATTTTTAGAACTAATATAACGGAACCAAAAAGTAAAAAGATTAATAATTTTTTTTGAAATTAGAGTAATTTTTTTAATCTGATTATTATGATTGAGCGTCTTAAATCATTTTTAAAATTTTTTTTGTGCATCTTAAATTTTCCTGGATGCTTCTATATGGTATTTAGGGTTTACCTACAGCAATGTATTTCAAAATCAGAAGTACCCATTTTTTATGATTTTGAGCTTCAGTATTACCGTTTTATCATTATAGTTTCTAATCATCTGATATTTGTAGTTTTAGGTGGGCGTGGCCCTCATCTTTTCCTTAAAAAAAAAACAAAAAACTATCGTTCACAAAAACACACTTTTGCATGAATTTCATTCCTCTACGTTGGGGCAAATTATTACGTCCGGTGTTCGGATTCATCCGGACATCAATCCAAGTGGCGAATTCAAATGCGCCACGTGACGTGGCGCGTCTAAATTGGGTGTCGGTGACCGGACGTAATAATTCGCCCTATGCTGCCGAGCCATAATGTGATATCATTGAAACACTCGAGCAATTATCAGCCAATTTTTCTTGGCCTCATATCCGGCAAAATATTCTTCAATTTATCAGTCAATGCAGGGGGGGTTAAGAGATGTTTGGCTTAGTTTGGGATAACTTCTTATTGCTTTCTAAAGTTATTTTTTAATAAAAATTTCTAGTACAAAAGTTTTTTATATCAAAAAGTTGTTATGAAAATTAGCGAGAAAACTATCACAAATGAAGTCGAAACCGGCAACTATGGCACCTCTTGGATTACAAATGCCAATTTTTATTGGCCTCATATCTGACGAAATATTCTTCAATTTATCAGTCAATGCACTGGGAGTTGAGAGATATTTGGCTTCGTTTGAGAGAACTTATTGCTTTCTAAAATTATTTTTTATACAAAATTTCTAATTTAAAAAATTTGTATTAAAAATTTGCTATAAAAAATAGTAAGAAAATTATCACAAAAAAAGCTGAAACTGTCAACTATGACACCTCTTGGATTACACACCATTTCGGATCCTAGAGCAAGTTTGGGAGGACGCTTCAATGGATTTCATTACTGCTATGCCCAATTCTTGAAGAGATTATTCTGTGCGGAATCCAAATGTATTCGAAGATGAATCTGGATGCGCCACGTCACCGGATGCACTGGGCCCTGGTGATCTGGCATGTCCAGATTCGCCTCCGAACACGTTCGGATTCGGCACAAAATAATTTTCCCAATTCTTGGGGATTCACGATGATTTTTGTCTTCGTTGATAACATAATGAAGGGTTGCTTCCATCCCCTCCGAACACGTTCGGATTCGGCACAAAATAATTTTCCCAATTCTTGGGGATTCACGATGATTTTTGTCTTCGTTGATAACATAATGAAGGGTTGCTTCCATCCTGTTATTCAGCTTCCAAAGTGGCCGACTTGTTTACTGAAATGGTAGTCCATCATCACGAATTCCCAAGATTATTGTATCAGATAGGGACAGTATCTTCCTTAGCAACTTTTATCTTCTCTCAGCAGTACTAAATTTTAGTTCAGCTTACCATCCACTCTATGACTCTAAACAGTGGTATTAACGAGCTTAGACTATGTTAAATCCACATAAAAAGTCCCTCCTTTCTGTTTGATGGAATTTTTTTTTTTTTTTTTTGGGACAATTAGAGGATTTGAGCCCGTGTGAGATGAGAGGAATTTCTTTCGTCGATCACTCAGTTGCAAACCCAATCTCGTTTGATAGAATTTTCACTTTGCCATACAAATGACTTCGTACCAATCCCTTTATGGCAGTCCACCACATTCCACAGCAATAATGGATTGAGGCGGGTCCCGTGGGGGCACATATCCCCTACGAATAAATGCAGTTGAATTTTTTTATTTGGCTTGAAGTAAAATCAATACAGTGTAAAGTCCAATGATGAGGATGGCTAATAGCCGATGGTCTGTGACGCCAATGTCTGGTGGCCTTGGCAGGCATCAACCAGTCGTGGTGACGGATGGCGGCAAGCGGCCAACAGTAGCTAGCAGGTATTTACTGATGGTGGCAGGGCTAGCAGTGTCAGGTGACGGTCACTTGCAATGGCGGCCCAACAATTGTCAATCGATGGCTAGTGGAAGGCAGAGGGTAGTGAATGACGACGGCAATGGTAGATTATTTACAATATATTTCAAAATCGATTAAACCTAACAGTTTCTGAATACATCAAAATCATACTAGATAGTGAATTTCAAATACTTCAAAATTTTGCTCTAAATTTGTTTTACTTCAAACAAAACTTTTAAATACATGAAAATATATATAATGAAATATTAACATAAAGATAATAAAAGCTTTCAACCATTATACCAAGCCTACTCCAAAAATATGATTGCTTCAAGAATATTAACAGAGAACAAATTAAAATCCTAAAAGGATTACCATTTTAAACCAGATGAAGCATATAGTTTTCTTCTCTTCATGTTGTCTCTTTTTTCTTGTTCCTTGTCCTATGGTGGTGGCCATCCACTGATTGAATCATTGAAGGCATATAAACTACTCTGAGCATGCTGGAAATCTGACTTACAGTCAACATCTTCTCAGTTGAGAGATCAGTGCAAATTAGCCCTATTTCTATGGCCTGTCTAGCTTGCTCATGAGCTGTAGCAGATAGCTTCATATTCTCATCTATTATCTGATAATCTTAATCAGTCAAAATTTAAGAGAGAGGTTGTGATTAATGGGGGGCTGAACAATACAACTTTGGGAAAAAACTTCATAGTTTAAATCTCAGGAACGCATACATGTTGTATAAGTAATTAAGAAATTACATGCTAGTTCAATCCTCTAGATTACAATGTACTTCAAGAGAACAAGGAATGCTTCTGATGAAATATCATGCTTTTAATTGAATACAATCACATGAATTACTTGATGAGTTTGATGAATTGAATAGATCATGTAGTTTAAAATCATCATATGCACACTTCCAAAAGAAATAAAAAATAATAAGGATGAATTTGAGAGAAAGATGTATCGAATAAATTATACTAATCAAATTTTAGAAGATATGAATTTATTTTAAAACTTAAGATAGAGCTCTCGAGGATAATAGGATACTCAAGACTTGAAGATTTCATGAATCCTATTTTGTATCCTAATTTATATAATCCCTGAATAGACAGAAGAAATAGTAGAAGACTTATGAATCCATTTTGGAGTCAAATATAATAATTGTGGATTATTTGGCCATATTTCTTATACCTATACATTGAAAAAAAACTTATTTGGATGTGGAGACCGAAGATGCTAAACTAGATTATCATACATGCATCTAATTATAACTTGCAAAAAGGTAAACAAACTTTTTGGGTTCCAGGTCTAACGTTAGTAATTTTGCAAGATTGCTTTCATACAAGGTCTCATGAGAGCATATGGTACTTGCACAGCAGATGCTCAAGAGATATGATGGGAGATACTACATAATTCATATCACTGGAACTAGGAGTGGAGTCAAGGTTATACTTGGAGTAATACCACAAGGAGGTGGTTGGGTTAGGTATGATTGAAAATCATAAAAAAAATTTTATTGAAAATGTTCTACTTGTAGAAAGCTTAAAGCATAATTTGTTAAGTATTAGCCAGCTATGTGATAAAGGATACTGTGTAAATTTTTCATACTAGCTGCATATTAAGCCTAAATGTAATGATGTTTTGAATGACATAAGGGTAAATAATGATGGTATATGCTAGACTTGAATTACATAAAAACTCCTACTACTTTTTGTTTAAAAACTATTTCAGATGAATTCATCTTTGGCATAGGAGACTTTGTCACTTAGCATAAAATTGGAGGATTACCCAAAAGAACTTAGTGAGAGGTACTACCAAAATTAGACTTTTCTAAGGACCACCTTTATGATGCATGTCCAATTAGGAAAACAGGTGAAGTCATCTTTTTAATCCAATAAAGATCATTAGAGATTTTACATATGAATCTTTTTGGACCAGTTGGAATTGTAAGTCTTGAGGAAAGGTATATGAATTTGTAATTGTGGATGATTATTCTAGATTCACTTGGGTTAGATTTCTATTTCATAAAAGTGAATCATTTAGGAATTAGAACTTTCAAATTTGATTCAAAGGAAACTAAGATGCGAGATTATGATATTCAAAAATCATGGAGAGAAATTTGGGAATAAAAAATTTGAGGATTTTGTAAAAGAGAAAGGAATGTCACAATTTTTCTGCACCTAGAACCTCTTCAGCAGAATGGGGTAGTCAAAAGAAAAATAAATATTAATAGAAGCGCTCGAGCCATATCGGCAGAATATTCACTTCCTAATATTTTTTGGGCTGAGGTGGTTAGCACAGCATGTTATGTTCTAAATAGGGTGAATGTGACATCAAACTTATAAAATACCTATGAGTTTATTAAAAGGAGAGCACCAAATTTGTCAATTTGCATGTCTTTGGATGTAAGGTGTTCATTCATAATAATGGAAAATCTGTCTTAAAAAAATTTGATCCAAAATCAGATGAAGGAATTTTTATAGGATACTTAAGTGTTAAAATGTTATAGAGTATTCACTAAAAGAACTTTGGTAATTGAGGTGACACCATATTAATTTGATGAAACAGGAAGTTGGAAGAGCCAATTATTGAAGAGGATGAAGATAGAGATTAACTCCCAAAGATTGATAAAATAAATTTGGAAGAAATTTGGCGCTAGAAAATCCATTGCCATAAGATTTGAGATATTCTAAAAACCATCGAAAGGGAATTGATTATAGGAGAACCTGTGAGGGTGTTAGGGTAAGGCATGGACTGAATAAAGAAGTCAATCATTCATATTTATTTCAA